ATGTATTTCACATAATTATATTTTAAATTAAAGAAAAGACAAGACTCATTAAATGGATGGGAATCAATTATGTAAATGTTGGATTATTAGATTAATCAAATTAAATACAAGTCATTGAGTCGATTTTATCTCTAAAATTGACTATGAAATATATCACATAGAAATAAAGTTATTGTGAAGAAAATAACTTTTTTTTTAAGTTCTTGCATAAAGCAGGTCCTAATTAGCTGGAGCAAAAATTTTTGAATGAACGCGAAAAAACAGTAACCAAGAGAAAATTGTGATTGCGATGATGAAAAATAAATAGTAAAAAACTATTTGAAAATCTAATGCATTTTTGGATCGACAAGAATATTATCAAATTCTTTATAATCAATTCATTAGGAAACTCAGTTAAGATTTGATTTTTGATCTTATATAATTCACTCTTTATTAATTATTTCTCTAATATCTGTATATTTTTTTCTCTTAAAAGACTTTTCAATTCATTATGAAAAATTTATTGGACTATACCATTATTCTCTAAAGAATCTTATTAAAGATGTAGCCTAAGAGTACATTAATTTTTTCATCATGTGCCATAATGGAAGGCAAGTAAGGCCCTTCTGCTTGCATTGGTGAGGCTTCCTTATTAGATGCTTTTGAATTTTTATTATTTTTTTTTAATAGGCGCAAAAAAATTAAGGGAATTATATTATGACATTTAAAATTTTTATATATTTTATAATTAAATATTACCTCCTAAACATAGAAGCTATTAAATTCACTCAAATACACGTGTTAAGATCAAATCATTGAAATTTTAAATGGAATAAGAAAAAAAATAGGGAAATTTGTTGGAAAACTTTGACATTTTTGAAAAGAATTTGACAATAAAGTAGGTTATAGTTGTCAAGTAGCCAAGATTTATAATCTAGGTGATATATTTGAAATTGTCAAAAATTAGAAATATATGATGAGATGATACACGCTAAATACTTACAAAGTCAAGCCGAACACAAGTCATCCCTAGCTTAAGCTTAAGCTTGATTAATAAATCGATTTGGAGTTCGAGCTCGAGCCAACTTTTTTTATTACAAAAGAGAGAAATTATTTATGATTTAAGCAATTATTATAATAAAATTATAAAAAATGTCAAATTATGAGATAAATTATAAAGAATCATTTGATATAAGAGAGTATATATATATAATTTTAAAATATTTTTAATAGTTTTATAATTGGATTTTTGAATTCTAATATATTTTAAGTATTGTGTCCTAAAATATTCGCGACAGACAATATATATAAAGTTTAGCGTCCTAATTTTGTACGAAGATCCAACACACAAACAAATAAGATAGAGGGGTGCGACATTCACAAGTGGCACCAGAATTTTAACATGGAAATCCCAAAAATTGAGGAAAAATCACAGGGTCTTGCACAGTTTGAATGAATTCACTAGTGCTTGTAGTCAATTACAATTAATGATCTTCGTCAAGGGAAGGTGTTGGCTCAATGTCATAAATATATATCATATATAGCAAATTACATAGTTAGAGAATGACATAATAATTCGTCTCAAGAGAATATTGTTTTATCCATTTGGTTGACAGGTCCATAATCGGATGATGATGGTCCGAATGACCATAATCGACAAGTAACGAAGGTTGGAATGATCATAATCAACCGATGGTGGTCGAAAAGTCAGTAGTTGGCTGGCAACGATGGGGGGAAGAATCGTAATTAGACGACAGTGGTTGGAAAAATCGTCAATGACTGCTATATGGAGATCCAATGGAGATGGTCAAGATGAGAATCGGCAATGGCATCCTAGTAGATCGAGTTTGACGGCAATGACGTCGGGGTGGAGCTTCAGAATTCTCTAAGCTTAAAAGTGTTTTCTCCTCTTCCTCCTCTTCATGTGAAGAAAGAGGGTCTATTTATAGTTTTGTGGGAGTGGCATGGCTAAATATGAATAAGATCAAGAGAATGTTGAGAGTATTTCATTAGACGGTTGAAAGTAATTCCCTTGATCATCGAGCGTTTATCAAATATTTATATGCCTAATGATATCAGAATTAAACAATCTTGACCTTGTTGAATTCGTCTCATCAAGCTGCTCGATTCTAATATAAGCATATCATATTTGACAATCATCTAGTCATCAAATTAATACATTGAACCTTACAAATATGCTTGAGACCCTTGATATGGGGTCATTTGGGTTCGGATTAAACCAATTTTGATATCTTTGGGTTCGTTTCTTCGAGATGTTCAATTCAACTATAAATTTGTTGAAATCAATAATTGGATAATTCCAACTTTAATTTTGAAATTTTTAACTTTGATATGCCTAGAGATTCATGCCCGATCAAAAAAATTTTTTGTGATATATCATTAAGTAAGCTTGTTTTTTTCAAGTAATCACCCAACTAATTAAGAAAAATAAGTATTAACCATTGCTTTATACTAATCTTTTTTATAATTAAAAAATCTCAATTCTAATATTTATTAAGTTTATGACTAATATTTAAAATAAATTCCTATTTTAAACTTTGTTTTTAATCCACTGAACTAAATTGAGATTGCTAGTTATTTAAGGAAATTTGTTTTAAACTTGTTTCTAAAGAAAAAAATTTGGTTTCTGAAGAAACCGTGAAACCTTTTCACCATTTCGCCATGATTTATCTTTTTTTTTTTCGGTTTTTATTTACTTTTCCGATTTTGCTCAAAGATATCTGACTCTACTCCTACAACTAAATTCTAATAGTAAGATGCTCATTTTAAAAATTTGATCTATTGTTTAGACTTTCTTGGGGACGATTTTCTTCCTTCTTAAATAATTTTTTTAGTATAAAAATTTTAATTTTTAAACTAAAAATTTGTTTTAAAAAAACAATAAAAAAATCATCCAAAGTGTACACCGTTCACACAAACATTACGTACCTAGCAGTATCCAACGGGACCGAGTTCCGGTACCTAACGCTGAACAATGCTTGTGCAAACAGTTCTCTCAGTCTGAACTCCGCACCTAATAATCTCTCCGTAACTCTCATATGGATGCAAATCAGATACAACCACATTAGCTATATCTAGCGACAGTACCATATCGAGCCATGATACAACAAAAAATAATAATAAGATGCATTCTAATTGATCTCAACGTTCTAAAGAAAAATTAATAAACAAATCCCAAAAATACGCGGTGCTATCCCCCAAAAATTAATCATTTATTTAGAGGAAGCCACATTTTTTGGGGATCTGATCCAACCTATCATTTTTGGCATATCCCAATTAAAAAATAATTTCTGATGCGGAAAAATAGGAAACAAATGTTGCAGATAAGGACGAAGCCAGATTAATGACAATTTAACAATATTTTTATGAGTATGAATAAATGTATGATTTCATTCATATTTAATAAAAAAAGATATATCTTACTTATTAATTTGGGGAAAAAAATTAATAATTTTGAATTGAAATTTAAAACTCATAGCATTTGATAGGTTATTAATGTAAATAGAATGGATTAATTTCATAAATTTGATTTATTTCAAAAAATATTATGTTATCCATATAATTCTATTCTTCGTCGCTAACTAAAAATTGTGTTCTACATGTAGGGTTTGTGATGATCCGATTTCAAGTTGATTTGAAATCGGGTCAAAATACAAAATAGGCTCGAATGATTATATTAAGGCTCGTTATGTTTGATTTCAAGGCAACTCGGCTCAAAATTGACTTGAAAACTGATCAAAAATTCTTGCTACCAATTTCTTCTCAATGGTTCAACCAAAAAAAATTGTTGAAACCAAATTTCAAGCCAATTATAGGAGAAATTATTCTGTGCAAACATCAGAGTCCGTAGGCCAATCAGACACGTTGCATCACCTGATACCCAACAGTACTGGACACCAATATTTAGCAAAAAAGTGACAAGACATTTTCTGATTGATCTCTAAACAACGTCTGGTGTCTCCACATAATAATTTATACACTTACAGACATCTGTTTTGATGTCACAAAATGACCAAATTAGCATAATAGGAAGCCATCAAGTCACAATTTTATTCAAATTAGCCAATTTCAATTGCTACTAAAACCAACATCAATCTCTCACAAATTTCAATCCGGTAAAACATACTTACATTTTCACAAAACCAACTTCAATCTCTCCATGACTCAAATACCAAGTGAAACTAAAAAAAAAGCTATCAATTTCTCCTCACCAAAAAATGGGAGAAATCAAATCACATTATTCCTCAACTAAAAAAAGTAATAAACAAGTCCAAAATGTGTATTCCAAAAAGACTTGATTCATTCAAGTGCAAATGAAATCACTACTTCCGATATTCAATGCATAAACTAAAAAAAAAATCCCATGTTTGAACCCAAGATCGACAAATGGAGAAAAGAACATCACTACCAGTTGAGCAAGCTTAAACAATTCTTTCATTTTGCTGAACTAATTTATATAAAACTCTAGCAAATATCTTCAAAATTTCATTCTAAAAATAACTTTTTTCCGGAATCCAAAATTAGCTTTTCCAATACAAACCTCTTAAAAAGCAACCAACGAATAAAAAGCACCTGATATAATGCAAAATGAAGTCTTAGGCTCCGGTTTCTAAAAGCTGCTTTAAGAAGCAGTAAGAAAGTCGTCCCACAAAAAGCCTTAGAATAGACTAATTCAATAAAATGTAGCACATTAAGCTAAGCAGGTATTTCTCAAGAAACCAATATAAAGGTGTCCGAAATAATATTTTTACTTTTTTAACCATTGAAATTCACGCATATCTCTATAACCATAAATATATACTCTGAAACAAAGTTTAAATTTACATTGCAGCCACTTCACATTAGAAAACAATACACATCAAATCAAACAAAATAAAATTTTACCGACACCACAGGTTTTTTAAAAAAAATCTATTTTGCATCAAATCAAATCAAAGAGCCAATAAACCTGAAAACATTCTAAAAAAGGGTGATCAATAGCTACAAACAGACGCAGTAGGGAAACAAACAGTGCCAATGAATTATTGTTACAATCAAATTCAAAGCAATACTTGAAGAACAGAAGAAAAAATGTGGAGTCTCTATCAAGCAATCTAGGGGCCTACACACCAAACACAAGGAATCAGTTTGGCCCACGCAAGAGAGACGCATGATCTTGACTGGACGGATATGATAAGATGTATCAGCATTCAAAAAGCTTTGGCTGGTTTAAAATATACACATAGAGGCAAAACCTCCTCCATCCTTTTCCTTTTCTGCAGTATCTAGTATTGTGAACACTTACACCACTAAATATCAAAAGGCGAGGAGAACTGCAGCGTTCTAAGTGGGAATGATAAGTTTGAGCAAGCAATGCATGGCCATGCACTAACAAATTAGAGTTGCAGGTAAAGGCAGAATATAAAATCCAATGGTAACAGTATTTTACACTGTGTAAAGTGATAACTGACCTCATCACCTATAACCATCAATACTGCATCAATGCCCTCAAATGTGTTAACTTAATGTTAACTAGTGATTGTCCTGTTCCATTCGAGTGGAGGGTGTAGACCCATTTTTTTTGTAATATTCTGCCAAGAGCGAATATTACGAATTTGTAAAATAATCAAACATGAGAAGAAGATATTAAGATTTATGCGGTTCTGTCAAAATAATAGCTTTAATTTTATGGGTGAGTGTGAGGATGTGATCCACTGTAGAGTAGCCATGATTGTGTAAATAAAATGGGGCATAAAAAATGTTATTCATCAAAATCAATTTCACCCAATATCGCCAATTGATATGTCATCAAAAAATTATTTTGATCGGGCATGAATCTTGAGGCAAAATCAGGTCAGAAGCTTCAAAAATTAAATCTGGGATCATCTGAACTCCGATTTCAGCGAACTTACAATCAAATTGAGCTTATCGGAAATACAAACCCAACAACACCAAAATTCAACTCAATCCGAGCCCAAATAAGTCTTAATCAAAGACTTGAAGTGCTATTGGAAGGTTCAAAGCACAATTTGGATTACCAAATGGTTTCCAAACATGACATGCTTATAGTCGAATCGAGCGGCTCGGCGAGACGAATCCAACGAGCCCAAGTTCGCCGAATTATGATATCATTAAGACCTTTAAATGTCTGTCAAACGGTCCACGATCAAGGGATTCAATATCGGCCGTCCATCCAAACCACTCCACATTTACCCTCGATCTTCCTCCTATTTACTAGCCATGCCATTCTCAAAAACTATAAATAGCACCTCATTTCTCTTAAGAGGGGACCCAAGCAAGAAGAGAAAAGAAGGGGAAGAAGAGAAGAGGAGGGAAAAAGCTCCTCCTCGATCACCGCCGGAGTTCCGCCTGACGTTCAAGTGAAGCCGGAGTTTCGTCCGACTTCCAAGTGATGCCGGAATTCTGCCCGACTTTCTAGTGACGCCGGAATTCTGCTCGACTTCCAAGTGATGCCGGAGTTTTGCCCAACTTTCAAGTGGAGCTGAAACTTTGCCCGATCTCCAAATAACGCCGGAATTTTGTTTAATCTCCAAGTGACTTAGGAATTCAGCTCGAATACAAAACTTGTTTATAACTGAATTTCAATCTGGGAGTGAATCATTGTAATCTGATCATCCTAAATTTTAAGGATGAGTCAGCCTCTCGTACCTCAAGCAAACACTAGTGGAATTCTTTCAACTGGGCGTGGCCCCGTGGTTTTTCCCTTTCCAGGGTTTTCCACGTAAAAATCCTGGTGTTCTTTCACCTTCTATTTGTGTGCTAGATATTTGTACAACGCTGAGACGAAAACTTTCTAACTCTATCGCCGCGTATATTCTAGCCCGCAACAGTTTAGCGCTGTCTGTGGGAACATTATCCCACAATTTCAAGTGTTACTTCAATAGCCAACAGACATAGCAATCGTATCTTGGGAGCTTCTCGCTCCAACTCCCATCAATCCAGGAACCAATTTATGAATCATGGACGCCCAATATCTACATTTTGTTATCCTGGGGGACAAAACGTTGCTGGAGAAGGAACCTCTGGACCTTCCCTAGAGGAGCGAATTCAAAAGATGAAAGAATCTCAGAACGAGATTCTTCAACTTCTGCGGGAGACTCGACAATATTAGCACAACGGGAGGAGGTTCTTCTCCCTCGAGCTCCAACACTGGTCGAAGATGTTCAACTCGAACATCTTCAAGCAGAGATTCCTCTTCCTCCGCAATAGAGAGATCAAACATGAGAAGAAGATAATAAGATTTATGCGGTTCTGTCAAGATAATAGCTTTAAGTTTAATTTATGGGTGAGTGAGAGGATGTGATCCACTGTAGAGTAGCCAAGCTTGTGTGTAAATAAAATGGGGCATAAAAAATACTATTTCTCTTTTATTTGAATTTTGTTAATCGAGCTTTTCTTTTTATGGTGATATTGGGTGCATTTGATTTAAAAGAGAAATTAATATAAGAGAGATAATATATAAATAATATTTAACTAATACTAGAATTCTCCTGGTGAAAGTTCTTCAATGGTAACTTCCCAATGTTTATGAAATCATCATAATATTTCTTTCATCATATTCTTGCACCTTATCAAAATATTACCGCACTGTTTTTCCTTAATTCCTTTGTTTTTTTGCATGATCCTTTTCTTTTCTCCCTCTATTTTAGTTTTTTATTTTTTTTTCCTCCCAAACATTGTCGCTGTCATGTAGAGGTGTAAGTGAGCCGAGTCGGCTTGAGCTCGACTCATTTATGAGCTCGCGAGCCGAGCTTATTGAGCTCATGAGTCGAGCTCGAGTTCAAACTTGAACTCATTTAAATGAGCTCAAGTTCAAGCTTGGTTGAGGCGTGGCTCACGAGCTGGCTCAATTCACTATTAATATTTTTAAAATACTTTTTATTTTATTTATTAAATTTTAACCCGCCTAATCCCGCTTAAAAATTAATACTAAATGTTTTAATCTTCCAGCCTAATATCGCTCGAATTCGAGGCTGATAATGCTCGTGAGGCTCGAGGGCGTTAGGTAGTCGAGAGCCAATATAAAACTTGTCGAATAATCATGATAAATTATTTAATATATTATGTTATGCTATAGCGTTCTCCGGAAGCGACAAGTTGTATGACATGAATACAATGAGAAGTGTGTAAGGGCTGTTGAACTAGCGCCCGGGTATAATGTTAAATAAGGGTTCCCACATCACGAACGAATGTGAGCAAAAAAAATAATTCATGAAATTAAAATTAGGATAGGAACTTAAAATATAAGTTCTTAAAGCAAATTAATAAAATTAATAAATATTATGATTTATATAAAGATAAATATTCTTATCATTCAGTTAACTAAATGATTTGGAGCGAATAATAGGGTGATTAATAGTTTAGGTTTAAATTATATATTCAGATAGGAGTCGTACTAGAAATGATGTAAGTGTAATTATAGATAAGAGTTTAAACAATAATATTATAGAAATTAATAGAATTGGAAATAAAATTATAACTTTAAATATTTCTGTTGATGCTAAGATTATCAATATTATAAGTGCTTGTGCTCCTCAGGTTTGGATATCTATTCAAAATTAAAATTTTGAAATAATTTAAAAGAATTAATACAAAAGATGCCTCTTGAAAAAAACAAAATAAATTAAAAGAATAAAAAACAAAATATACATTTTGAAGAATGTTTTTATCGGAAAAAATTTAAATGAACATGTTAATAAAGAGGGAGGAGATTTTAAAATAAAAACATTAATGATGGTTATAAATTTGAATCGATTAATGAAAGTTGTAGGATCATATTAGATTTTTCTTTGGCTTATGATTTTATAATTGATAACACCTTATTTAAGAAAATAGAGGAGCATCACATAACTTATAAGAATTGATATAGTAAAACTCATATTGATTATTTTTTATAACAAAAATAAATTGTTTAGATTTTCAAAGATTGCAAAGTTATTCCAAATAAATGTTTATGTACTCAGCATTATTTATTAGTTTTAGACTTTAAGATAAATTGACATAATATAAAAAATAAAGTAAAATATTGTCCTAAAATTACATGACTACGTTTAAGAAATACTAATAAAAATATTTTAAGAATAAGATTCAAGATCTTAAGATTTTAATTGTATATAAGAAAGCTAATATCATGCGAGAAAAAGTAGCTAATAATATTAAAAATATTGCAAATGATGTGTTTTAAGTAAAAAAAACTATCAATAATAAAAATAGTTAGTGATAGAATTAAAATGTGTAAGAAAAGATAAAAAATAAAAAGATTTGTTATAATATTAGTTTTATCCAGACACAATGGTGAAAAAGGATTCATGTAACCGACCCCACGTAGTGGGACAAGGGCTTGATGTTGTTGTTGTTGTTATAATATTAGTTTAGATGTAAAATCTCAAAAAAAAAAAAGTAACAGATATAATAAGGCACGTAAGGAATCTAAGAAAGCAATATGTGATGCAAAAAAATTAATTTTTCATGGTCTATATAATAAATTAGATATTAAAGAGGGCGAAAATTTTATGTATAAGTTAGCCAAACGAAGTAATATGAGAAGTAATTATTTAGTTAAAGTGAAGTGCATTAAAAATGAAAATCAAAAAAAATATTTTTATTAAAAGATATTCAACAAAGGTTGATAAGATATTTTGATAAACTTTTTAATAAAAATGTGAGAATTTGATTGACTTTAGAGAATTTAACACTCTAAATAAAAATATATATTTTTATTTTTATTGGCGTATTTATAAAATTGAAATTATATAAGCTTTTAGAAAAATGAAGTGCGAAAAAACTGTTGGATATGATGATATTCCAATAGAGATGTGAAAATGCATTGGAGATGAAGGAATTTCTTCGCTTACGAAACTTCTCAATATTATTTTAAAAACTAAAAAATATCAGATGAGTGGAGAAAGGATGTATTGATTCATATTTTTAAAAACAAAGGTGATGCACAAGGGTGTGCGAATTATAGAAGAATTAATTTAATATGTCATATTTTATAATTAAGGCAGAGAATTATTAAGTATATGTTACATCGTGATACTAACATTTCTCAAAATCAATTTGGATCCATGTCGGGTAGGATCTACAGATGATATTTATTGATTTAGAGAAAGCTTATGATAAAGTTCCAAGAGAAGCTTATGATAAAGTTCCAAGAGAAGAGTGCTATGGAGACTTCTAGAAAAAATAAAAAAAGAGGTTAATAATACTTATACTCAAGTCAATGGTTAAGTTATTACTTGCATTCAAACACAAGGTGGTTTGACCAAGTATTTTCCTATTTTAGTTGGATTATATCAAGGATTAACTTTAAGCACTTTTTTTTTGTTTTAGTCATGAATGTTCTTACTATACATTTTCAAAAGGATGTACCTTGTTGTATGCTTTTTGCTAATGATATTCTTCTTATTAATAAGACTAGAGAGGGAGTTGAACGTAAACTTGAATTTTGGAGATCAACCTTGGAGGTCTAAAGGTTTTCATTTTGAGTAGATCTAAAACCGAATACATTGGAGGGTAATTTTAGAAATAATAGATCTATTGGGGAGATCGTGACTTTGGACAATCAAGTCATTAATAAGAGTACTCGTTTTAGACATATGTTGTCTATTGTTCAGAGTGATTGTGAAAAAGATGGGAATATTATTAGTAGAATTCACGTTGGATGGTTGAAGTGAAGCAATGCATCGGGCTTATTGTGTGATAGAAAAGTACCCCTCAAACTTAACGGTAAATTCTATACGATGGTGCTGAAACCTTCCATTCTAAATGACGTAGAATGTTGGCCATTAAAAGAGAAGCATAAAATTAAGTTAAACGTAGCAAAGAAGAGGATGTTCAGTGGATGAATGGCTTTCCTCTTTGAGACAGAATGCGAAATGAGCATATACGTGAAAAGGTTGGAATAGCTCTAATGGAATATAAGATTAGAGGGCCACAAACATCTAAATCACAAATGTTACAAATTATGATGGATCCACCAACGCCAATAATGCACATTCCACTGAATTTTGTATCCTCGAAATGAATGTCTACTATTATTCTTGTAATGGCATGATTTGACACTAATACATATTGTAAAACATAAAATCTATTTGATAAATCATGTATGATGCTCTCCCCTTCAATATGTACCATCTTTCCTCTAGAACCTTCCCTGCATAGTAATAAACAACCATTTTTCCCAATTTCCCAAATCATAGTGCTCCAACATAGTAAAGGTTGGTTCAGTCGATTCAATTGAACCGGCCAGCCCTAACTAGAAACACCGGCACGAGCAAGTTTTTCGCAAGCAAAATCGAACAAGGCTTGGCTCCGCGTGCTCGTATAAGCCTCCATGACGGATTGATTCGTTGTTTAAAGTAGATAAGGATGTGAGTGAGTGAGAAAGAACGACTCTTCATGTGAGGCATCTTCATTTCACTCATTTCTATAGAAAAAAAAATCACTTGGGAAGCTCTGTGCATATAGAAGTCTCGTTCAAACTTAGGATTAAAATTCTATAAGATGGTGGTGAGACCTGCAATGCTTTATGGTGCAGAATTTTGGCCATTAAAAGAGGAGCATAATATTAAGTTAAGTATTGCAGAGATGAGGATGCTCGAGTGGATGAGTGGCTTTACTCTTAAAGATAGAATATGAAATGAGCATATACATGAAAAGGTTGGAGTAGCTCTAGTGGAAGATAAGATTAGAGATAGTCACCTTAGATGGTTTGGTCACATAAAACGACAGCCTTCCGATGACTCGGTTAGGAAAGTAAATCTATTAGAATTTGTTTATGTTAAAAAAAGTAGAGATAGACCTAAAAGGACATGATTAGAAAATATTAGAAATGACATTTCTTTATTAGATTTAAATGAGAATTTGATCCTTAACGGAACACAATGGAGAAAAGGATTCAGGTAGTCGACCACACGTAGTGGGATAAAGACTTGATGTTGTTGTTTTATAAATATTTTTAATTTTGTGCTTATCCTAATAAAATGATTTGCTCAAAATCTTAACAAAACTATCATTCCAATACCTCTTAATCGAAACCAGCGGTGTTGATTGTGAAGTCTAGGTCAGGTTGAACCAAGTCCAAATAAATTTGACATCAACATTGGTTATAACTACCCTCACTTTCATTGGCTAGGTGCATGACGTGTGGCAGGAAAATGATTATGGAACTCTGAAAGATCACTCCATTGATGGAGCCCGATTATGCATGTGGAAGCCACCAAAATGGTGGAGCCACCCTTTGCTAAATAAAGGAGCGCCTATAAAAGGGAATCCCTGGGCATGTGAGGCAATCACATCTTTAAACCTCTAATGTTTTTTTTTTTTTTTAAAGTTAAATATTCACATCTTTAACATAAAGAGAGTTTCTAGTAGATTGGTCTGCTTGGCTCAGCATAAATTCAATTTTCTCAGCAGAACTCTTCATACAAAAGTAATTCAATATTTTTTTCTCTCTCTAACATTTTGATTAGAGGTGCAATAGCACTCAATCAACTAATTGATAGTCTCTAATTAATGCAACCACCTCCTTCATTGCTCCCTACTTTCTATCTAAACACTTTATCATTCTTTGAGAGACACTATCAGTCAACTTTATCTTCGATTCAATGTTTTGAGTAGATTCATTGTTGTGACCTCTGGCTGATCCAGTCATCAAAAAGTGGCAGCACTAACATTTATGGCTCCTAATGAAATAGTGGAATGGAAACTGAGTTCAGAAATAAAGGATTGGTGTCCTGTATTAAGAGTAGTTATGACTTATGGCCATGGGACAATTCAAAGATTCTGAATACAACCATTCAATTGCGTTAAAGACCTGTGCTCCATAATAAACTGGTAAAAGGGTAAGACTTTGAACAGTCGATCTCATGTTATTTGACCTTGGCTCAAGATCGGCCCAGGCCCAGCATCATCCAATCTGATTTTATCTTAAGCTAGACTCCATTTGACCAGAATTCAAAACAGATGGTTTTGTTAATTTCAAATAACTCAATACAAGAAAAAAAAATATTTAATTTCAATCGATTTAAACATTTAAAAAAAAAACTTAGTACAAAAGATACATATATGTAGAGGCAAAAATGAAATAAAACAAATATAAGTCTATGTATAAATGTGTATACACGCATATATATATATATATATATATATATATATATATGCAATTCCATCCTGCTATTTCAATTTCTATACAAGCTCAGCTCAATTCAAATTTGATTTAAGCAAGTGTGGCTTGTTTTCTTCAATGTGAGTTGTTACAAGACAAAAAAACTGATCCAATTTTGGAAAGATCTTTGATCTTCAAGTCAAGTTCAGTCCTACGGAAGTAGTAGTGGTCAAAATATGACGCTAAATATAGATATAGGCATGCATGAGCAGCATCTGTTAACAAAATAAAAAACAGCCTACGAAGAAAAAAAGCAAGAAAGTTGGGCCCTTTCTTTGACTTTAGATCTCAATTATTTCATTACGAGCAAGATTGAGTGGACATTACCTGATCAATATGCAAAAGGTTGAAAAAGCTTCCTTGGAATGCAGCTGACTGTGCGTATTGGTGCAAGTAGAGCACGCATATTGGGATGTGGTAGAGGCCCTAGGTTTTAGACATCACAAACAAAATTATAATTGACAAGTGACATACTGACAAGACTCATTGCTTGTCAAGTCTTCTTTAGAAGAAAAACGACATTAAACAACAATGCCCGCAAGTGGATTTTAAGCTAAAATTCAAAGAGATGATGGGATGTTTGGGCCATCGATGCATCTATGTGGCAACAGAAAGACAAAAGTAAATAAATAAATGAATTAATGGAATCCCATATAAGATTATCTACAGGCACAAATAAAATTTTCATTTGAAAGTGATAAATTGGGATGAAATCATTTTTTTCATCCAACCATGCCTATTTCCCTATTGCATAGGTTATCAGACAAATCCTTTCCAAATATTTCTGTGTTTGAGGGCCATACTAGCAGTTTTCGGTGTATTAGCCTTGCCCCTAGTAATTTTGTAGGCCAAAGTGGTGAAGAGAGGTAAGAAAGGTGTCAATCGAAGTAGTAAAGAAGAAATTGATAAAGATGGAAAATCAAAATTAAAGATTAAAATGTAAAAAAATGAAATCAGTTTAACTAATGATGCATTTATTTTGGATCAAATAACCTCTAAATGAATTTATTTGCCAAAAGGCTAAATATGAACAGTATTCAATAGTTCAAGAAGATTTGCAGTTCATAGATTACTGATATACAAGACCGAAAAATCTTAAGAGAGAAAAAAATCACATCCGTAAACTTCACGAAATAGCACTCCCCTTCAATAAAAGAACAAGGTTTGGATGTTGTCATGACCCCAGATGGAAGGACACCAACCAAAGAGCAGTAATTTCACTGTGGAATTTTCTGCAGCCCAAAACAAGTTTAGTGTAGGCAAGATGCAAAATTCAAGTATGATAAATGTAGGATCTGCTTGCATCAAACAAACGGAAGAAGTGCAAATCCAGTTAAGTATGAAATATAGGCAGCTTCTTCAGGCTTGATCACTTGGATTACTTACATTGTTCACTCATCAAGCTCATTGCTAGTGGTGCTGTAACGCCTGCGAGCATTTTATTCTTACAAATTGAAGTAGTCATAAAGGGCATGATGATTATGATGAAGTACAACACAAATTAACTTTTTCTCAAAGAATTTGGGTTTCATAAACAATGATGAACTGATTATACAAGAAAGGTCTTCAGAAGTCACTCATGGTAATTTAACTATGTTCAAGACAAATGAGTAAAGTAAGAAAGGAACAAATAGTAAAAAAAACTGTTTGATCCCTGTATTGACGAATGAGACTTTAATCAACTATTTTGATGAAAAAATCATGATAAGATTGTGGCTCAATTTTAAGTTTTTGAATATGAACAGAGCATTTCCACCAAGCTCTACAAGTTTTACTTGCCCACAAGCAAGAAAGTACATACGTTCAGTCTCATATCAATAAATTTAATCATCAATTAATCTATGAGAAGTAAGAATATAAAGATTGATGATCAAAATCAAGCATTTAGCAGTTGTGCTTACAGTTGAGCTTCCAAGAGTTTCAAAATTCTTAATCAAATCACTACAAATAATTGTTGGAAAATGTACATAGACTGACTTTGCAACCACATTTGGATAGTCCATGATTTAAATCAGATTACATATAGTACATTAGGATATTTATTATATTTAAATGTATAGTTTTAAATTGTAATATTGCATATATTCTTAAGTCATCATATTCTGATGCAGGCTGGTTTTCTTTTCTGTTCTTGGAAAATTCTATATAAACAGACGTGTACTTGTTACTCGGTATTAATGAGAAGAGAATTATACTTTTCTTGGCCACATTTTCTCATTGTATTAGAACTTTGGTTCTTTTGACTTTTGGGTATTGCCACTAACACTTACGCAAACTGTAGTGGTATCATTGTCCATTCTACTCCTGGCCTTCACCACCTTTGCTGATTTTTCATCATCAATTCTTGCTCTCAAGCTTCATTGTTGGCACTCCACAACTATGCGACTTCAACATAACATCAACTCACATTAATATGGGGTTGCCTCTATGTAGCCACAACGTCAAAACCTCTACAGTATCTTCTCTAGTTCTTGTCGCCATCTAATTACATCTCACATTTGTTGTTTCCAAGCCTTTATAATTGACCTGTGATATCCTTGGTTCATCTGATTGCATATAATCATCGATTTCATCTAGACGTGCACTTTTGCTCATCAACTTCTCCTTGATGTATTTATATTGTCTTATTTTATTTTGATGTAATGTGAACAATATTAGTTGTGTTTTATGTTTTTTTTTAAAAGCTATCCAATGATCATGGTAGGAAGTGCTTGCGCATGACAAGGCTTGGGTTTGCTTGCATTTGGGTCCTTGTCCTTGGGCTGCTTGTTGTTCTCGGTTTGGGGCCTTGGCTGTTCTCGCCTGGGCTTTGGCTGCTTGGTTTTGAGCTAAAAAAAATTGGGTTCTAGTTGGTACTAGCTCATTAATGTTTGAGCTGAAGTTTAGCTCATTATTTAGAGGAATAATTGCACTTCCTAGCTCATTAAATCATAAAGGTATGTGGAGTGGAGTTTGTCTCTTCCTATTCTTGTGCCTCTTTGGTTTCTTCCTTGTGACTCAATGCTATGGGCTGGTTGTCTTTTCGTTTCTTCTCCCTGGTTGCTTTCCCGTGACTCCTCTGCCCCGTTTCCTGTGTTGGCTCCTCGGGTCCCTCTCTCGCTGCTTTCCCATGGCTTGCTGGCTGGGTTTCCCGTGGCTTTGCTTCCTATTTTCTGTGCAGAATTTAGGGGGGGCTGCTGTGTTGTCTTTTGGCCTTTCATTTCCCCAAACCTGATTGGTTTTGGTTGGAGGTCGAATGTCTATTTGGCTCCCCTTTTTGCCTATATATTTGAGAGGATTTTGTTATGAATAGGTTGTTGAATATTTGAGCAAAGTCTCTACTAAAAATCTGAGGGTTTCTTCTCTTGGAAAAGCTTGAGAGCTTGTTCCACCCCATTTCCTCTTCTTTATTTTGTCTTGGCTTCTAATCTCTTCTTCTCTACGCAAGTTCCACTCCACCTGTATCCTTCTTCTTGAGCTCTTGGAAGTTGTTTGTTGGCTGATTTTTTGAGATAATTTGCCAAAGGAGTTTGGTAGGATGTTGGACCCTTTTGCAATGGTGGACCCTCGATTTGCAAGCCTAAGCACTATTTTTATATATTTTCCTACTTTCGTTGCATGTGCGAAAACCGCTTGACGGTTGTTCTGAGGATAGCATTTTTATGTTATAATTTTGTTTCGTTTTATTTGACTTTTCGTTTATCTGGATGTTTTTTTGGATGTTTGCAAGTTAAAGTAAATCGAGTTTGGTTTTATTGTCCTTGGGTTCTCCAACTTGGCTTTTCTTTCTAGTTTGCTTACATCAGGTTTGGTATCAGAGTGAGTTAGAATATCATTGGTTTGTGAGTCTTTTTCTTTTGAAATCTAAGATGGCTAATAATCCGGGGGATTGGCAAAATATAATGCAATAGCTAGCGGACTTGTAAAATCAGATGAATGAAATGGCTAATACTCTTGTTAATCTAAACATTAACCAACATAATGTCCAAACATTTGAAAGCGAAGAAGTCCCTAAGAACCAAAATAGGCGACAACGAAACTGGTATTATGAGATTAAAATAGACGTTCACAACTTTGAAGGGAAATTACAACCTAATCTATTTCTTGAATGGATAGAAAAAATGGAACAATTCTTTGATTGGAAAGAAATTTCTGAAAATAGAAAAGAAAAATTTGCAAGTTTAAAACTCACTGGTCATGCTCTTACGTGGGGGAAAAATTTACAAAACAATAAGCAAAGACGTGGGAAAAAGAAGATACAAAACTGGGAACGAATGAAAGAAAAAATGAGGGGGAAATTCTTACCATCTGATCACGCACGAACACTCTTTCAAGAATTTAAAAATTTGCGACAATGAACTCAATCTGTGGAAGAATACACTGAAATATTTTACAAACTTCAATCAAGAAATGATTTAGATGAGTCTGAAGAGAAAATTGTCTCAAGGTATTTCAACGGTCTTAAGTGGACAATCCAAGATCAACTAAATTTGCATCATGTTATTAAAATTGACAAGGCTTATCGCATGGCATTAAAACTTGAAAAACAACATCAAAGGAAAAGGGGTCACAACAAGATAACGGAAACATATAAACGGCGACCAATTGGCGGGATTAAAAATCAATCTCAAACTTCTGTGGGAACACCATCGGGTGTGAAAGTTAAGTCTTTTGAAAATCAAAATACGGATAAAGGAAAGGGAATTATGAGGTCTAAACTTTCTGAACAACCTATATTAATTGGACCATGCTACAAATGTGAGCTTTATGATCATCTTTCTGCGGCTTGTAGGAAAAATAACCCACCAAGAAACAATTTTATTGAAAACGATGAAGAAATAAAGGAAGAAGAAGAAAACGAGTCTGAACCTGAAAAAAACATTGAATTAGAGAAAGTTGATGTTGAGGGAGATGCAGGTGAAGAGCTTTTGGTAATACGACAAGTCTTAACAACTAAAATTGACAATGCAGATACGTGGCTTAGGAGAAACATTTTCAAAATAACTTGCACGGTTGAGGGAAAAATCTGCACTCTTATGATAGATAGCGGAAGTTCTGAAAATTTTGTGTCACAACTTATAGTTGTAAACTCAAGTTAAAGTCCAAACCATTTGTCAAATCTTATAAAATCTCTTAGTTTAAGGAAGGGGATGAGGTTTCAATCACAAAACAATATGTTGTCAACTTAACAATTTGGGGTTCTTTTAAGGATCAAGTTATTTTTCGATGTCGTGCCTCTTGAAGTTTATCACATTTTGTTGGGTTGACCTTGGCAATTTGATAACAAAATCATTCACAACGGAGAAAAGATACTTATACTTTGATTCAAAATAATAAAGAGTTTACTCTCTATCCTCAAAAACATGTGCCTGACTCGCCTACTAAAAATAACAAGTTTGCAAAAATAAACACTCCTGAACTACTTTTGAATGCAAATGATTTGAAACACTCTGAAATAGCTTACTTAGTTTTGGGAAAGGAAACTAATTCTATTCTTCAAATTCTTAAAGAAATACAGTCTTTAATTGATAAGCTTTCTAATATATCACCTAAGGAACTGCCTATAGGTTTGCCATCAATAAGAGATATTCAGCATCATATTGATTTAATACCTGAAGCCACTTTACCTAACCTTCCTCATTACAGGATGAGTCCAACTGAGCATGCTGAACTTTTTAAGCAAGTGACTGATTTGTTAGAAAAGGGTTTAATTAAAGAAAGCTTAAGTCCTTATACTGCGCCAGCTTTATTAACTCCTAAAAAAGATAGAACGTGGAGAATGTGTGTAGATAGTAGAGCAATAAATAAAATCACCATTAAATATCGATTTCTTATTCCTAGGCTGGATGACATGCTAGATATGTTAAGCAATGTAAATTTTTTTTTCAAAATTGATTTGAGAAGTGGGTATCACCAAATAAGAATAAGACATGAGGATGAATGAAAAACTGCTTTTAAAACTAAAGAATGTTTGTATAAATGGCTTGTGATGCCTTTTAGGCTTTCGAATGCTCCGAGCACTTTTATGAGAACTATGAATCATGTTTTGAGATCTTTTATTGGAAAGTTAGTTGTGGTTTATTTCGACGATATTTTGATTTATAATATTCATCCTTCTGAGCACTTTAATCATGTGAGATAAGTGTTGCAAACTCTAAGGGAACAAAAGCTGTACATCAATCTTAAAAAATGTTCCTTTATGAATTCGAGCTTAACATTTTTGGATTTTATTATTTTTGTTGAGGGGATAAAAGTTGATCCGATAAAAATTGAGGCAATTCAAAGTTGGCCCACTCCTAAAAACATAAGTGAGGTGAGAGGATTTCATGGCTTGACTTTTTTTTATCGAATGTTTATTAAGAACATCAGTTCTCTGATTGTTCCTATTATTGATTGTTTGAAAAAGGGGATATTTAGGTGGACATCTCAGGCTGAACAAACTTTTGAAA